TTGTTCTCACCTGTTGTTCTCACCTGTGTTGTTCTCACATGTATTGTTCTCACCTGTTGTTCTCACCTGTGTTGTTCTCATCTGTTGTTCTCACCTTTGTTGTTCTCACCTGTGTTGTTCTCACCTGTTGTTCTCACCTGTTGTTCTCACCTGTATTGTTCTCACCTGTGGTTCTCACCTTTGTTGTTCTCACCTGTGTTGTTCTCACCTGTTGTTCTCACCTGTTGTTCTCACCTGTATTGTTCTCACCTGTGGTTCTCACCTGTATTGTTCTCACCTGTGTTGTTCTCACCTGTGTTCTTCTCACCTGTGTTATTCTCACCTGTTGTTCTCACCTGTGTTCTTCTCACCTGTTCTCACCTGTGTTGTTCTCACCTGTATTGTTCTTACCTGTATTGTTCTTACCTGTATTATTCTTACCTGTGTTGTTCTCACCTGTGTTGTTCTCACCTGTGTTGTTCTCACCTGTATTGTTCTCACCTGTGTTGTTCTCACCTGTATTGTTCTCACCTGATTTGTTCTCACCTCTGTTTTTCTTACCTGTGTTGTTCTCACCTGTTGTTCTCACCTGTATTGTTCTCACCTGTGGTTCTCACCTTTGTTGTTCTCACCTGTTGTTCTCACCTGTATTGTTCTCACCTGTGGTTCTCACCTGTATTGTTCTCACCTGTGTTGTTCTCACCTGTGTTCTTCTCACCTGTATTGTTCTCACCTGTGTTGTTCTCACCTGTGTTGTTCTCACCTCTGTTTTTCTTACCTGTGTTGTTCTCACCTATTGTTCTCACCTGTGGTTCTCACCTGTGTTATTCTCACCTGTGTTGTTCTCACCTGTGTTGTTCTCACCTGTNACACACACACACACACACACACACACACACACACACACACACACACACACACACACACACACACACAGCAGTGGCACCCTGATGGGCGGAGCTCAGCAGACAGGTCCAGCTCCTCTGCAGTCCTGATAACATTCAGCTCTCTGTGGCCTGATGGCTGCAGCCCAGATAAGATCCTCCCTGCAGGTCTGCAGGTCTGCAGGTCTGCAGGTCTGCAGGTCTGAGGAGCAGAGATACGGGCCGGTCATGGAGAGCAGGGGCGGGCTGAGGGGCTCCTGGTGATGAGATAACATTGAGCTGTGGGTCATTTGGCCTCAGGAGGGGAATGTGGAGGGTTGGAGATGAGAGTCTGGACTCAGGGGGTTTCTGCACACAGATCTCATCAGCTGTGTCTTCTGTGACCTCAAACCTGCTGACCCCTGAAGACCTGCTGGAAGTCCAAACATGCAGCAGCATGAAGACGGACTCTGTCCTGCAGAGTTCGTTGTAACAGACACATGTGGAGAGAGCAGCTCAGAAACCAGTGGATCCTGTTTGTTCATGTTGTTCCTTCATCTGTTTCTTTGAACATGGAAGAACAGGAAGTGAGTGTGGGAGGGTCAGGATCACTGCTGTGGCTCTGCAGAGCCTCACCTGCACAAGGTCAGGTGAGTGAGGAAGACCAGACCCTGATCCCTCACTGAGTAGGGCTGCCACAAACAATTATTTATTTGATTAGTCGACTAATCAGATCAAACGTTAATTGAATATAAAACATAGAGCTTATTGCACCAGAATTCAGCTGCTATTATATAACCATGGTTAGATTTTAGCTATATGCTAACTAAAATAATTGCTGTGGAAGGTAAGTTCTGCTCTGCAGATATTACACAGGTTTCTCTTTCATTTTCTTAAAATGATCCCACACTTTGAGCTCTGTTGTGACGTTTAATATGTTTTAAATTAATTTCTTTGATTATTTTATATTTTAATCCTGTTTCTTTTATTTTGAAATGTGTTTAGGAGCTCATCATCAGGTGAAATCCTCCTCAGTTCCTTCCTCTCAGTTTGAACGGTGCTGTTTCAGGTCAGGAGCGTATCGGCGTGGACTCCAAGTACGAGCAGGAGGGGAAGGTCCAGTTTGTGATCGACGCCGTGTACGCCATGGCCCACGCGCTGCACAACATGCAGCAGGACCTGTGTCCGGATGGCTCAGGCATCTGCCCGGAGATGGAGCTCGCTGGAGGGAAGAAACTGCTCAAGTACATCCGCAGCGTCAGCTTTAACGGTGAGTGGACCGGTACCTCTGTCCTCCTGCAGCTCATAAAGTCTGTGCTCCAAGGCTGCAGCCTCACAGTGAATAATGTCCCCGAGCAGCCGCTCCTCATCATAAACACTCTGCTGCAGAGACTCACATCGTAACAAATCTCCTCCTGATGACTGAATAAAACCAAATGTCCAGCTTTTCTAAGGGCTGCTTGGACAGTTTTCATTTTACAAACTGCACCAAACAAAGGAAACAGGAAGTCATTAAAGCTGCTCTGTCCAGGATCAGGAAGCTCAGCAGCTTTGTGAACTCACAGGATGGTTTCTCTCTGTCAGAGGGAAGAAGTCCAGTTGTTTCCAGTCAGACCAGAGTTCTGGAGCAGAAACATCTGCAGGAAGGTTTCAGAGCTGCAGACCTTCAGACATGTTTCTGTCTGTCACTGAAAACTGTTTTACCTCTGATCTGACAGATGTTGCTGATTGAATCTGAAACATCTGTCAGCTTTCTGAAGCTCTGGAACGTTCTGCTGACCTGATTCCTGTTTCCTCTTTTCTGCTCCATCTTTCCAGCTCCGTCCTTCCTGCTTCCTACTTCCTGCTTCCAGTTTCCTACTTCCTGTTTCCTGCTACCTCCTTCCTGTTCCGTCCCTCTTGCTTCGAGGTACACTTGGCTGCAGCATGCAGCTCGGGGCGGTGACAGACCTTTCCGTCAGTCATACCTTATATGGAAATGGGACTATTGCATTCCGGAAATGAAGGTTGC